TCTCTCTCTCTCTCTCTCTCTCTCTTTCTCTCTCTCTCTCTCTCTGTCTCTCTCCCTCCCTCCCTCCCTTTGGTGATTATCTTTCAAGGTAAAACCTGACAAATCAAAAGACATTGGAAAACCTCAAGGTTTATCCTTTTAGAGATTTGCATAAGGTGCTTCTCAGATGACTTGACACAAAGCAAGTATTTCTCAAACTGTCCGTGTGGCAAAACAATCAAGCAATGCCTCTAACATTGTCATGTTCCCTTTGAGGAAAGAAACTTGGTTGTTTTCTTGCAGATGTTTCCTGACCCAACTAGATAACATTATCCGTGTGAGAAGGGGATGGGGTTTGTGGAACAGAGGAGGGAGAAGGAGAACTGTGGGGTCCTTGGTGCTCTCTGAGCTTGGTTGTTTTCTTGCAGACATTTCATGACCCAACTAAGTAACCTCATCAGTGCCAGTTACCTAGTTTGGGTCGTGAAACGTCTGCAAGAAAACGACCAAGTTCAGAGGGCAGCGAGAAGTCCTCATCTCAACCCGGGGCGACAAATATTCTCCTTTATGGGTACCTTGTAAATAGGGCAAGAAAACAGGGCCGCTGCCTGGCAGCTCCTGAAAAGATGCTATCAGGTAACAGATGCCAAAGCCGCCCCGAGGACCCCAAGAGATTCTTCTGAGCAGCTGCCATTCAAACTCAAGATGAGTGCCAGGACCCCGGGCGCCGAGAGGAAAAAACTTAGCTTGGCAATCCAAGCCGGGGCTGTATCATAACTGATGTCAGCGGCACCACCCGAAGGGAAGCCTTAGGCCCCGGGGGCAGACAACAGCCATGGTGTCTTGACCCCTTCCATCTGGATGTCTTCTCCAGTTAGTCGGCCTCCGCCGCGCGGTTGTTTTTCTCTCTGCCAGATTGTCAAGGAGAAGCATGGGGCTGACACACCGAGGCAAAAGCAAGACAATGCTGTCAAAGCCTGCTCCGGGGCATCTCCCGGTCTGTCGTATTAATTAACCTGGGATGACTAGGGCTGAATAACAGCAGCATAACAAGAGTTGGAAGGGACCTTGGAGGTCTTCTAGTCCAGCCCCCTGCTCAAGCAGAACTCTATACCATCCTCCATTGGCTCTGTAGGCATCGGCAAGGCTTAAGGCTACCCTATGGTCTTGACCTATGGAGGAAGATTATTGGTTGAGGGAGGGGTCTTAGCAGAATTACAGACTGACAGAGTTGGAAGGGACCTTGGAGGTGATCTAGTCCAACCCTCTGCTCAAGCAGGAGACCCTAGACCATTTCAGACAAACGGGCTCTCCAGTCACTTCTTAAAAGCCTCCAGTGCTGGAGCACTCCCACAGCTTCTGAAGGCAAGCCGTTGCACCAGTTAATTGTCCTCCCAGTCAGAAATATTTCTCCTTAGTTCTAGGTTGCATCTCTCCTTGGCTTGTTTGCATCCATTGCTAATAATAAAGAGTTGTAATAAAGAATAGAAGAGTTGCAATAAAAAAGAGTAATAAAGAGTCGATTGGGGTTTGCATTTTGAATTTCAGCAGGAGCGCTAAAGAACATCAATCCGCCATCCCTTCCTTAAAAATTAAGTCCCCAGACCTGAAGGAGAAAGGATAAAATGCAAAAGAGTAGGGCACCACAGCTGAGTCGTAATCACACATCTCCTTTGGAGGCTTACCCTAGTATAAATCTTTTCTCTAAATAAGGAGCCTTGAGAATATGCCTGAAACCAAATCTCAAGGACTGCAAAGGCTGAGCTCCTGAACTCTGAAAAAAAGTTGCCTTCGCTGGACCTTGTATAATAAGGGGGGTCTTCAAACTTGGCCCTTTTAGGACTTGTGGACTTCAACTCCCAGAATTCCTTAGCCAGAACTCTGGGAGTTGGAAGTCCACAAGTCATAAAAGGGCCAGGTTTGAGGACCTCTGTTGTATAGCAATCACAATTTCAAACAAAGTTGAGACTGGATTGGAAGACCCATGCTCAGCTTCTCTGAGCTGCATGTGTGTGTGTATCTCTCTCTCTCTCTCTCTCTCTCTCTCTCTCTCTCCCTCTCTCTCTCCCTCCTTCCCTCCCTCCCTCTCTCCCTTTCTCCCTCCCTCCCTCCCTCCCTCTTTCTCTCTCTCTCCCTCCCTCCATCTCTCTCTCTCTCTTTCTCTCTCTCTCTCTCTTTCTCTCTCTCTCTTTGTGTGGGTGTGTGTGTGTTTGTGTGCCTCCCTCTTCTCCTTCCCTCAGAACTACCTGCCAGGTCAGACTTACTTGTGGAGAACGTGCCATCCGTATGGACCGGAGGAGTGGAAGGGAGGAAGGGAGGGTGCCCGACGAAAAAGGACCGCAAGGATCGTTCAGACAGGAGAGGAGAGCGCTGAGCAGGGATGTTCTCACAGCTCCCCACACTGTTGTGAATCTTGAGGTTCAGGGGCTTGTCCTTCTTCTTGACCCTGGGAGGGAAAGAAAAGGGAACGAGCTGTGAGGAAAGGACAGCCACGAAAGGAGAGCTTTTTCGGTTTAGCATAAAGAGGCGAGTCGGCAGAAGTCAGAAGCTAGAGAAAGAAGAAGAGACCAGTTAGATTGTCCCCAAATGTCCCCAGCCCGGCAATCCGTTTCAGGTCGGGACAAGGGCGCCCAGGACAACTGCAGCCATCATAAATATGAACCAGTTGCCAAGTGTCTGACTTTTGGTCACGTGAGCGTGGGGAAGCGGCAACGGTGGGTGCGTGTGAAAAATGGTGATTAGTCCCTTTTTCCCAGTCTCGTTGAGACTTTGAACGGTCACTAAATGAACTGTTGTAAGTCAAGGACTTATAGTACTTGAGTTGAGGGCAACCCTGAAAGTCGAGGACTTACAGTAGTATTTGAGTTGAGGGCAATCCCGGAAGGCAGAGTTATACCCAACATTAAAAATCAACGAGTGATGCAAATAATTCCTCTCCCCGTCGGGCCCATCGGCAAAGTGGAATGGGTTTCTTGGAAGAGGTCAACGTTGCCTGATTTGGACACTGACCAGAACTGTTCCACCTTACGACTTCTCCTTGCAGCCTTCTTCTGCTTGCTCAGTGTCCGTAAGAGAGGACACCCGGGTTCGCAAAGGAGAACAACTGAGGTCCAACTGTTTTCCTGCTCAAGCCTCAAGGAGGAAACGAGGGAATTTTGCAAGGAACCGAGTGGATTTCTCCCCAAACTCGGTGCTTTCTGCCCTCTTGTGGTGAAATCCCAAGCTTGGCCCCGTGGAGATGCAGAACGCAACCCCTTCCCACCTGGCTAATTTCTCCAGGAACCGGGTGCCAATTTATCTTGTCTGGCCCACAAATCCTGATTTATGGCAGGCCCAGGAACGAGGCAACTTCCCCTTCCCCTTCCAGACCAGGGAAACATGTTTTAAGAATCACCGCCTCAATTTGTCTCTGTCTCCAGGCCGTTTTGCTCCTTCCTGACAGAAGTTCTATCTCCAGACAGGCTGTTCAGCTGAGCTGCAGGAAGGACTTTGGGACAAAAACCCGGTTCACCGGAAGGAGGGTGAGGCCGAAAGCCTGATGAGATGGAATGAACAATCAAATGCTTCACCAAATCAAGATCGCGTGAAGTGTTAATACCACTTTACAATGCCTTGGTAAGACCACACTTGGAATACAGCATCCAGTTTTGGTCACCACGATGTAAAAAAGATGGTGAGACTCTAGAAAGAGTGCAGAGAAGAGCAACAAAGATGATTAGCAGACTGGAGGCTAAAACATATGAAAAAAGGTTGCTGGAATTGGGAATGTCTAGTTTAATTAAAAGAAGGACTAGGGGTGACATGATGGCAGTCTTCCAATATCTCAGGGGCTGCCCCAAAGAAGAGGGAGTCAAGCTATTCTCCAAAGCACCTGAAGGCAGGACAAGAAGCAACAGATGGAAACCAATCAAGGAGAGAAGCAACCTAGAACTAAGGAGAATTGAAGTCAACACATCTTAAAAATGGTTAAGGCTGGGAAAGCTTCCCATAATTGAATGAAACAAGACTGTGCGTGAGGGTCAATCCAGTCCCATCTTGCTTGTTTTTTTTAAAGTGGTCACGGAACTCATCTTGGATATGCTGCAACAGGGGGTCCCCTTTGGGAGATGAAGCCTTGACGAACAAACCATGATAAGAAAAATGAGCCATCTTGCCTGAAGTTTCGGTCCTGTTTGCTTTCCAAACCGAGGCGTGTCCCTAAAAGTAACAGAGCCTGCAAAAACCTTGCGTTCCTCTCTCCTGATCCGCAACAGACATCCTTCTGGCGGTGCCTGTTTTCAACACATGCCCTTCAGCTCTGTGGGCATCTGGAGAGACCCTGGCTAGGAAATGACTGCATTGGAGCATCTCCAGACCTTACTGAACGATGCATCTGACAAAGGCTGGAGCAAGGGTCCAGGAAGGAAAGAGAGAAAGAAAGGGAGGAGAGACCGAAAAACAATTATCTATGCTCTTCCTAATATGTTAATTGTTTCCTAGCACAGGGAAATACGCTATTTGCTTTCAGATGCCAGGGCACATTGCTGTAACCAATTTATTTAAGGAAGTTTATATGGTTGCCCCCTCGGGCTTGCAATTGGCCCCGTGAGCCAAAAGGACAAGCCAATTGTGGAAGGGGAAAGGATTTGTACGATCTGAAGAGAAGCCAGTGGGATGCTGGTCTTTTGATGGGTCATCGTGGAGGAGTTGCCTTGGGGTCAAATCAGCAGAGCCATGGATCACATGAAGGGATAGTCCCACTTTCTGCTGAACTGGTGAGACCACATTAGGAATGCTATGTCCAGTTTTGGTCACCACGATACAAAAAAAAGATGCTGAGGCTCCAGAAAGAGGGCAGAGAAGAGCCACAAAGATGATTAGGTGTCTGGAGGTAAATCGCATGATGAATGGTTGAGGGATCTAGGTATCTCTACTCTAATGGAGACCCTTCCTTCCTTCCTTCCTTCTTTTCTTCTTTCCTTCCTTCCTTCCTTCCATCCTTCCTTTTCTTCCTTCCTTCCTTCCTTCCTTCCTTTTCTTCCTTCCTTCCCTCCCTCCCTCCTTCCTTTCCTTCCTTCCTTCCTTCCTTCCTTTTCTTCCCTCCTTCCTTCCTTCTTTTCTTTCTTCCTTCCTTCTTTTCTTCCTTCCTTCCCTCCTTCCTTCCTTCCCTCCTTCCTTCCTTTTCTTCCTTTCTTCCTTCCTGCCTCTCCCCCTCCTCCTCCTCCTCTCTGTCTGTCTCTCTCTTTCATGTTAATATATACATTGCACAAACTTTTCATCCCTTCATTATTATCATGCTGCTCCACTTTTTTCTGCCCCTGGGGCAGATTCTGCCGCTTCCTCCCTTGTGATCTTCTCGTTGCCGTTCAGATGGCTCTAAACCAGCTCCCGCTTCCGGAGCCAAGGGTTCCTTCTGCTGACTGACCTGACATCTCAGAAGCCCATCAGCAGCATTACGGCCGGGAGTTCTGCACCACCGCCAGGCTTCTTGTCCGAAAAGCCCAGAGACAGCAATGCCCCTGAACATTCGGGAAGCGATGGCTGAAAGGCCTGTCACAACGGCAGGCACTCCGAGGGCAAATGCGCAGAACACCCTGGTTCTTTCAGTTCTGCCTTTGCAAAGCAGCCAGGGCTGGCTTATGGTAGGACCTGCAGGCTTGGTTCAACGGCAGCAATAACGGAAGTGAGAATCCAAGCTAACTCGTGCAACCCCCCTCCCCCACTGCCTCATTTTGCTCATCCTCACCTAGCACAAAGCTCCACTTTTCCAAGGTCTCTTATTAGCCCACCAAATTTGGAAGCTGTTTTGTCTCCCCCCCTCTCAACCGCCTTCCCCCAAACCTATACATCAGCTACAGGAGAAATATTTAGCAAGAAAATCATTTCCTGGTGACAGCTCTCATTATTAGGAAGGATGAGTGATTCTCAACAGAGGGTTTTGCTGACCCCTCCCCACCCACTGGTAAGGACGAGGGGGAGGGGGGAATGAACGATGATTTGAGCCCGACATCATTCATCTGTCTGTAATGCCGAAGGAAAGCAGCAAAAAGGCCGGTTAGTCTGGGGGCTGGAACGCTGGAATGCTCCAGAGGAGAATCGTGGTCTTCGAACAGCAGGACATGTAGTCCTAAACTTAGGACCACAGTTAAGCCTAGAATCACGATCGTTAAGTCGCAGTGGTTGTTAAGCAAGGCCCCCAAACAATCTTGGCTCTCCAGATGGTCGTTGTTATGTGGAGTGTGCCTCAGAGAGTAGAGGAGGCCTTGGGCTGCTGAACAAATTGGGAATGTCTAGTTTAATGAAGAGAAGGACGAGGAGGGACATGATAGCCATGTTCCAATATCTCAGGGGTTGCCCCAAAGAAGAGGGAGTCAAGCTATTCTCCAAAGCGCCTGAAGGCAGGACAAGAAGCAACGGATGGAAACTAATCAAGGAGAGAAGCAACCTAGAACTAAGGAGAAACTTCCTGACAGTGAGAACAACTAACCAGTGGAACAACCTGCCTCCAGAAGTAGTGAATGCTCCAACATTGGAAGTTTTTAAGAAGAGACTGGACAGCCATTTGTCTGAAATGGGATAGGGTTTCCTGCCTGAGCAGGGGGTTGGACTAGACTGACACTTAGTCGTCTCAAAAGTGCTTTTCCAAAAGGCAATTGGACTGTCTCGGGTTTTTTTCCTTGACGAGAAGCTAAATGTTTTCAAGGAAAAAACCCAAGAAAAGTCCAGTTGCTTTCTACAAAAGCACCTTTGGGACAACCCTGACCTGGATGACTGAGACTCTCCACAGACTGACACTCAGTACCATATTATTCATTTGGTTAGGGAAGCTGTTTCAGGTTTCCAAATCGATTCAAGCCAGCTAGAGTCAGATCATCCACTGAGCTTGGAAGAAAAAGAGAGTGAACATACATTAAACGCCATCAATTTCTCACACTGATTCAAGAGTATTCCATTAGGTGCCCCAAATGGAAAATCAATTCAGTCCAGTTGCCTTTGAATCAAACTTCCAAATCAAACTTTTTATTTCTCCCACGGGGGTGGTGGTGGATCCAGTCCATCTTCTACAGTTCTACATGCAAAAGCATCAGTTGAAGAAACACGCACATGTGATAACCCCTCCTTTAAACTTTTGGTAGGGAATTATTTAAAGTTTACATTCAAAATCAACACCACCAGAAGTGGAACAGGATTTTCATAGTATTAAATGGGGTAAAAAGATATGTGAATGTTACTTATTGACTGGGTTGCAACAAGACGTGGTGTGGTGTTCTAGCTTAAAATTTGTATAAACCCAGTCAATTGTAGCTTCTTCAACAAATAGCGGTTCAACAAACCACACCTTGGCAACAGCCAGAAAAATTACTCCGCAGGCTAAGAGGCTGCTAATTCCTTCCACCTTAGTAATGTCTTCTGTTTTATCACTGATACGCATTTTATTCCACAGCAAATACAATCGGGGACTAGGAA